AAATGTATAAGAAATTTTTAAAATCGGTCTATTCATTAAAAAGTTATACGCAACCAAAAAAAGTTTATATATCTATCTCCCTCGCACTTACATTAGCCGAGGGGCGGGTATTAGATAGCCGGGACACCAACCCGACTGTAGCCTTCTCTCTTGTTTAAATTTAAAATAAGTAACAAATATATAGGTAAGCTTAATTTTCAATTTTAATTTCCGCAGGCGAAGCTACGCGCTACCGACCGTGCTAGACAAAAAAAAAACTTGGTAAAATCAACTGTAGTAATTGTCAAACAGGCCCCAACCAGCAAAATTGTCAATTCTACTAAGTAAATCAGGGAACGTAAATAACAGTTATTTTTGATTTTTATTTTAAAAAGACTACGGTGATATTTGGTTTTAAACGTCAAAAATAACGTTCTTTTTACTCTTGTCCACAAAGTATATGCATTTCAACAAATCTGGAAAGCAAATTAACTGTTATTTGTTCATGTCTATAAAGTGCATAAAAACCAATTAAATTGTTGATTAAAACTTGCACAAATCTCAGTAGGCCTTTTAAAATAAAAATCACAAATAACTGTTATTTACGGTCCCTGAAGTAAATAGTTATTCCACAACAACAAAATACACACAATTAGCAAAGACACACACCCAAAGCAAAACAAAATACACGTAACTATTTTAATAGTTACAGTTTTTTTAAAGTTCAAAATGTTAAATTTCTGGCTTTTTTCGAATTTTTTCTTATATCTCGGCACATATTCACCCGATTCCGCCAGTTTTCGATTCATTTTAAAGTCAATAGATCAGAGCTTATCTTTGCCATACAGATCAATATATTGGATAAGTAATGGCAGCGCAGCAGCTCGACAAAGATGAAAAATGTGTTTTTTGGTCGACTGTAAGTCGGCTGTATATATCGTAAAAACTCGAAATAAGTCCGTTGAAAAATCATAATGGGTACAAACTTAAAGTTTACATCCTACCGAATAAAAAAAGCCGGATATTGCCCAAATCCATGGAAAATTAAATTTATGGTGAATTTTTAAAGTTCAGATTTTTCAACTTTTTTCGGTTGACAGAGTTCAAATTTAAGATTTATCATAGGCGGCGGACATGTAAACAAAAATAATTAGTGAGTCAGTGTTCAATTATTTTGATTATGGGTCGAAAATTAATGAAAATTTGACTACACCCAAAAAAAAAATCGACTGAAATCGCCCTTGGTTTAAGAAAATCGCCTATGAATTTGCTTTACTGGCGATTTTGTCTATATTAAAGAAAGTAGGTCTTTAAAATCAAAGACGTTTTTTTCTAAAAATCAAAAAAAATAGACTGCAATTTAGAAATTTTTTGCTAGAAAGTAAAAAAATATTTCTAAAAATTTAGAAATAAAGGTTTTCTAAAAAATAGAAATACGGTTTTTTTTAAATATAGACAAATATTTTTTAAGTAACAAAAAAAATTTCTTAAATTCAGAAAATACAAAAATTTATTTTCGGGCTTCGGAATTATACCCGGTTGTTTCTGTGACGCCACGGCCTTTGTGTTGTTCTTTTTTCGTTTTTGTTTGTCACCTTATTTGAATTTCCTTTAATTGAGCACATGGGTGGTTTCAAATTGGAACTGTAATAATAACTGAAATAAGTGTAAATATATATAAAAACCCAATAACTTACTATTTTGAGAAAAACATCTTGGTCGCCGCACGCGGGAATCGAACCGCTAACCGCTCGCCTCACAGTTTGCAGTCAAGCACTCTACTAGCTGCGCCACGGAAGCATCACGTGAGGCGCTGTACAAAGTCTATTCACATTTTGTTCTCCTATTTTTACTCAAATTGATCTGGCTCTTTTCTGGTTATTCCTTTTAGTTGTTCAGTTAATTTTGCTTTTAAATATTTATTGATTGATATTAATATTTACATATTTATTATGGTTCAATAGTAACAGTAATTGAATGTTTTAAATTTGAAAAACTTAAACATCATTTTTATCAAAATATAATTATTCATGAGCTAATTAAAATGCAATACATTTTTTTTTATTAATATGTAAATAATAGTGTTAAAAAAAAAACAAAAAGACACCATTAGTTTTTCGTCTCGACGTGGCTTTGAACTCACTCTTGCAGCCGCAAACTTGAATAACATATGCATGCAAGCACGCGTTAGACTAGGGGTCTAACTAGGGGGCTACCAATCCCGGAAATTTTTTTCGATTAATAGCGATTTTTTCTTAGGCTAAACAAAATTTTTCTAAAAAGTGTATTAGAAGGGAAATCGATCAAATACTGTTAAATTTTTTATTTTCTAGAAAAATATTTCTTAATACACAGGTACACAGCCAAAAATTTCCACGAACCATTTCAAGTTTTCCATGATATTTGGGTGCTCCTGAGTAAAAGTCCCATACAAAATTATTTTCCATCACCTACAGGTTCCGCGGTATAGCTAAGAATACAAAAAACCGATGTTTGCCGACATTTTGAATTACGTGGCCTATATAATTGGACCAACCTTTATTATTTTCGGTAGGACCTACTCTCAATACATCAAGGCATTCCTAAAAAATAGTCCCCATTGTGAACCATTGCCCATGTCTTTGGAATTCGACGCCAAAGTTGAAAATCCCAAAATTGTAGAGATTTTTCTGATGGAAAAACAATTCTGAGGATTAAATCTTGAATGGAAGTAATTTTAACTATTCATTGTATCTATTGTTCATTGTATGCTTTAATTTCGGTTTAAAGCGATTTCATGAGAATATTTTTTATTTGATTTATTATACTAATAAAACCGTTTTTTTTATTTCATTATCTACTCCTAAATGTTGTCAGATTTTAAAAAAGTCAAGGCATCCTACAGAATGGGAGTAAACATTTACATTTCTCTGTGTATGTTCAGTGAACGTATTTTAGTTTCTTAGTTCTAGAGGTTGCCATGACTTATTCAAAATTTGACAACATTTAGGAGTAGATAATGAAATAAAAAAATCGGTTTTATTAGTATAAGAAATCCAATAAAATGTTCTCATGAAAACGCTTTAAACCGAAATTAAAGCATACAATGAACAATAGATACAATGAATAGTTAAAATTACTTCCATTCAAGATTTAATCCTCAGAATTGTTTTTCCATCAGAAAAATCTCTACAATTTTGGGATTTTCAACTTTGGCGTCGAATTCCAAAGACATGGGCAATGGTTCACAATGGGGACTATTTTTTAGGAATGCCTTGATGTATTGAGAGTAGGTCCTACCGAAAATAATAAAGGTTGGCCCAATTATAAAGGCCACGTAATTCAAAATGTCGGCAAACATCGGTTTTTTGTATTCTTAGCTATACCGCGGAACCTGTAGGTGATGGAAAATACTTTTGTATGGGACTTTTACTCAGGAGCACCCAAATATCATGGAAAACTTGAAATGGTTCGTGGAAATTTCACAAAGTTTAATTTTGTGTTCCTGTGATATCACAAATTTTTTTCTAAATGTTAGAAAAATCTTCAAACAGTTTTTCTGTTTTCTAATATTTCTATTATGTAGAAATATTTATAATTTAATGGCATTTTTTTTAGTTTTAGAAAAGTTTAGTCTTTTTTTTTCTAAAATCAATGGCGATTTTAACCCTCAAAAAAAGAAAGGAAGATTAGAAAAATTAACCTTATAATTTAGAAAAAAAAATGATTTTTCTGTATTTCAGAAAAAATTTTCTAAAAAACTCTTTCAATTCAGAATTTTTTTGAAGATTAGAAAATTTTTCTGAAGATTAGAAAATTTTTCCTCTTAATAGAACATTTTTTAAAGCACAGAAAAAAATTTTTTTTCTATATTTAGGAAAAATAATTTTTTGAGTGTAGAATAGCATAAACAGTATTTATTAAATGCAAAACATAATAATAAACAACGAAATATATGCAAATTATATTCTTATGGGAGCTATATGATATAATCGTTCGATTGGAACATGCTTTTACCCTAATCAAAGTACGTAAAAAAGATTTTGATTCGTAAAGATTTATGCCAATAGGCTTACTACTGCCCGAAATATCTTGAAAAATACAATTATGGACCTATTTCACCCTATTGTTCCTATGGGAGCTAAAGCATATAGACGTCCAAACGAGGCGCTTTTCAAACTTGATCCCATCACCTACAGGTTCCGCGGTATAGCTAAGAATACATAAAACCGATGTCTGCCGACATCTCAAATTATGTGGCCTATATAATTGGACTTACTTAATTGGACTTTTCACTAAACTCTGCTCTCAATACATCACGGCATTCCTATAGGAAACAAGAGAGAACTCTATAGTCGGGTTGGTGTCCCGACTATCTAATACCCGTCACTCAGCTAAAATGAGTGCGAAGGCTGTACTCGTGTTGGTGTCCCGACTAATAATCGTAACTTAGCTAAAGGGAGTGCGAGGGAGATAGATATATATTAACAATTTTGATTGCGTATAACTTTTTTATGAATGGTCCGATTTGAAAAATGTCTTCTACATTTCGATAGGTATAATTATACACAACAAAAATGCATTTATCTCAACCTTCTAGCTGAGATCACAGCGTTCATACAGACGGACAGACGGACATGGCTAGATCGACTCGGCTAGTGACCCTGATCAAGAATATATATACTTTATGGGATCGGAAACGCTTCCTTCTGGCTGTTACATACTTTTGCACGAATACAATTTACCCTTTTACTCTACGAGTAACGGGTATAAAAATAGTCCTTCTGTAACACCCTTGATTGACACCTGAACCAGCATATTGATTAGTCATTAATCAATGATGATACTTTTGTTTTGTTTTGGTATAGTACTAATTTATAATCCAAATGTTAAGCGGCAGCCTTTCGTCTTTCACTTAAAATAATTGAGTCAGTGCCATTTGACGTGAAGGAAAATGTCCATATTTGGGTGACTATTGAAAACTACTTGTCCTTTGGAAGTTTAAACTAATCTTTATTAAGATCCATATGCAGATGAAGGGGCTACAATTGCTGCAGGTATCTGTGCTTTTGGGGGATGCGTCCGCTGGAGCGCGGATTATGCCGCTTGCGTTTGTCGGGCTTGAGTAGTTCGGCCGCCTTGCTAACGATGACCGAAATCTCTTGTGCGTCAGCGGAATCTTCCGCTTCCGAGGCTGGGAGGGGTGTGGTTAGCGCCTGGTCGTCCCTGTCAATATCTTCAGCAGAGTCTTCATCCTCGGAACTCTCCTGGGCATTGCTCACAATGGGATCCGACTGTCCTGCGATGGAAGACGCCAGTGTGCTACTGGAAAAGTTTAGTTTTCCTGATCTTTCGGTGTGGGCTTCAGTGTACGGTGCTGTTTCTGTGGTCGAAATGGTTTTGAAAACCCGTTGAAAGATGTTGGGCGCCGGAACATTTGGAGCCGGCGCTCCGAGGATTCTGTTAAAGGGATTGAAAGGGTTCAGGGCGCCAAATGGCCCAAATGGGTTCAGACCCATGCCGAACTGCATTCCCATGCCGAAGGGGCCACCCACCTGGTGTTCCAAGTCGTATCCATGGGCTCCTATCTGAGGAGTCATGGCAAAGGGACTTCCCAACTGGCTACCCATCCCAAAGCCACCTCCGAAGGGACCAGCTATAGGAGTAGGATCCAAACCAAAAGGAGTGGAAATGGGTTGACTTCTCACCATTCCTTGTGGCGTTCTCGGCAGAGCGAAGTAGGGCGTCGGCTGCCGTTGCCCGTAGCAAGGCATGGATATAATAACTGGCTGGAAACTTGGGCAGGAGGTACTGAAGCTCACCCCGTTATCCGGTTGCGTAGGGCATTGAAAAGAGGTTGCTGGAGCATTGCAGTATGGATTGGGCGAAGCTGACACCTCAGTTTCAGACTGAGTTGGAGGCGGCGGCTGCGTTGGTGGAGCAGGTGACCCTGGGTATTGGCTATCGAAAGGGCTGTAGCCAGGCGCCAATTGACCCATCGATTCTATTGGAACAGTAGCCTGTTTGCCATGTGCCATGGCTTCTTGCGTTGGATATTCCGAAACACTGCTGTAGAAGGCTTTCATAACCGGATCATTTTCGGGCTCCTGCTTATGTGATAGCGGCACCCACATCAACTGATCCTGAGGACGGGGCGGATTCACTGGTCGGCGGTATTGTAGGTCGAGTTCGGCTCTCTTAAATCCCAAATTCGGCACGGCCAGCACATCGTCTTCAAAACCTAATGGATGCCGACTGCTCCCAACTAATACATTTTCGTTGGGGCGGTTCGACGACCTCGCAGGTGCTGCAGGATCATGCGAAGGGGGCGTGGACGTTGGGCCCGGGCCAGCTGAAAATCCTGGTGGAGCTGCAGGCGGGCTGTCCTCAGTTGGCTGAGGAAGTTCTGGCAGGCCATACGACTGCGCTGGAGGTGCAGGTGAAGGGGCAGCCATGGGGCTTCCGTAGTATCCGTACTGGGAGTGGGGTTGGTGCTGCTGAGGAAGAGGCTGACGGTGGGGCTTCTCCTGATACGACGGCGGACCCGCTGGATGGGCGTGGTTAATGGGATCTTCTGGGAATGCCTGCTGTGGAAATGACCCGCCTTCAAAGGCGGGATACAACGGAAAGTTGTGAACGGAATCATGCTGTGCGGCGTATTGGGGGCTTATGGGGGGCGAAAGCTTAGGGGTGGGGCGGTTCTCAACATCGGGTTCTTTGGATCCCGCTTCCCGGCACATATAGAACGGCTCTCCCTGACCGCCTTGATTCCTGACCTCCACGCAGCTTTGTTGTCCATTCTCGCCACCAAAGTTGGCACCACGGCACATATAATACGGCTCATCCTGCGGGCTACTAGGTCTAATCTCCACGCAGATCGTTGTCATGGTCCGCTTGCTGCGTTGCAGCAGCTCACCAGGAATTGGGTTACCTACTTGCACGACTCCAGTCGCACCCGGCGTAAGTAAAAGCTCGGTAGTAAGACATGTCCAAAGAAACAGCAGCTTCAAGTTCCGTGGATGGGCACCCATGTTCTTCTTCCGCTCACTAACTTCCGTTTTTGGCAGGGCAGAGCTTTTATAGTCTTGGACTCTCTGTTAGGGAAGGAAGACCATTATATCAACTCCTATACAGCCAATCCACCTTCACAACTTACCCAACAGAGTTCTCCGAAGCTATCTTTTGTAATTTATTTTCTTGGCCTGCGTTATGCTTCCCCTTTTATCCGCCTTTATATGGCTTATTGGACTGGTAATCGGAGTTTTATTCACTTGAAAAATTTATCACTGAATAAAAACCCAGGCAGAGAACTTTTTGGAACGGACTTGGGCAAGAAGGTTCGACTCAAACTCATACACTTTCATGTGGGATGTTGAAATCGACCTAGTGGATAGTAATACCGAGGCAAATATATTTAAAAAAAAAAGAACAAAAAAGCGGATTTATCATATTTTATTAATTTTAATATTAAATTTTGCCAATATGTCAGAATAGAATTTAGTTGTGCGAGTTTTTAGAATACCTACACTTTTAAGGTATATATTTTTTAGAACACACTTTATACTATTTTTCCAATTCGTTTGCACTCTTTTAAAGTTAAAAAAAATCTTTGTAAAATAGTTTTGGTTTAGGGCTAGTACTCAACCCAACAAAAAGTCGTCCAAAAAATTTTTTACGTTGTTTTCATATGAAAGTTTTTGTTTTGGACGACTTTTTGTTGGGTTTGTTGGGTGCCATATTCGCTCAGCACATTTTTTATTAATGTTTTGCTAAGGACATTTTTTACCCCTTGCCTTGTTTAAATATCAGAAAATATACTATATTTTCTTAGATTAGCTGAGGATCAAACTGATTAGAAACTTATGTCGTTAAAAAATCTTGTATAAATATGTTTTATTAAAGTTTAAACCTTTTCGGATTGGTTGACTTTTTCGTGGAAATTTCTATATTCTGTTGCTTACTTTTACAACACCGTCAGACTCTATTGGAGTGATTGAAAGTAATAATGTATAATTATGGAATATTTAATATTAGCAACCAGTTAAGATATTTTATCTATTTGTAAATGGATTATAAGATAATCCACAAGCTGCTTATAATAGAGCATCTAGATACATACTTGTTAAAAATGTTTGATTTTAGCTGATCCCCATAAGTTTTGGCAAGCGTTTTAATTTGACTTTCTGAACAGATCAACAAACTTCTCAAGTTTCTCCGATTTTTCAATGGTCAGCTCTTTTAGAGAGAGTGTGGGACATGTATGACACACAGACCTTTGCGTTACACTCAGTGTTGGTACATACCCTGCAGTTCCCGAATTCAGATCGAGCGCTAAATTGCACTGAGTCGACTGCGACGCCGGCAGAGCCTCGGCAGAATCGACGTTCTCACCAACCCTCTCTCTCTCAATCTCTCTTTTTACGAAATTAAGGTGCTGAAATAGCAGTAAATCAGCGCCTAAAAAGCGCCAGTTTCTGCCAGTCAATAGCACCGCTATTTTCAATACAAATTCATTAGTAATTGAGCGCTTAGTGCTTTTTTTAGCACTGATTCACAGCCAAAAAAGCGCTGAATGGAACTGCAGTGTACCTACAGTGGCTCACAGCTTATTTCGTGCAGAGGTAAACTTAAAATTCAAAATCGTACACACAAAAAAAAAACTTGGTAAAATCAACTGTAATAATTGTCAAACAGGCCCCAACCAGCAAAATTGTCAATTCTTCAAGTAAATAGTCATTTCACAACAACAAAATACACACAATTAGCAAAAACACAAACCCAAAGCAAAAACAAAATACACGTAACTATTTTAATAGTTACGTAACTATCTTTGTTGGTCAATTTTACCAAGCAAATTTTTTTGTGTGTATTGTTAAAGTACTATTTTGTATAGTACTATATTTTTGGTTCATGACGGGCTAGACCGAGTTGGGAATTATAAATAAGGAATCGCAGAAGATTTGTAAAATTACTGTTGCATACTTTTATACTAAAGATGCTAGGGTAACTATTTTTATAGCTAATCACTTATTTAAAATAGTTTCAAGGTACAAAAACAAAATACACACATCCCGTAAACGTAACTATTCTAATAATAGTTTAACTACATAATAGTACGCAAAGCAAAAACAAATGCACGGACGACTATTTTTATTGTTAAAGTACTATTTTGTATAGTTACTGAACTATCTTCATTGGATAATTTTACCAAGCAAATTTTTTGTGTGTATATATTCCTATAGAAATTTATGCCTCAAAGTCCGACTGGGCTAGCATTCAAGGTCCAAATGACGCCAAAATGCTGAAAAAAGCAGCCTGCGGACATTTATTCTATTTTCTGCGAATGTGACGTTTAAAAGTATAGCCTTTTGAACCTATGAATGTATTGCAAACAATTCGATTTCTGTCCAAATTCCGAGTGTATAATGGACAAAGATGAGCGCGACTACTGGCACCTGCGGTCCATATACAACGAGAAAGTGCCGCGCTTTCCGCCAACAAACATGGTCGAGCCTCTGACGGCCCGCAACCTGTTCCAACTGTACGTCAACACCTTCATTGCAGCCAACCTGGCTGAGGCGTGTGTGTTTCCACTGGATGTAGCCAAGACCCGAATGCAGGTCGACGGCGAACAGGCCAAAAAGACGGGAGCACGAATGCCTAGGTTCCGGCCAACCTTCAGTAACATGATCAAGGTGGAGGGCCTAAGGTCGCTCTACGCTGGCTTTTCGGCGATGGTCACCCGGAATCTGATCTTCAACTCGTTGCGCGTCGTCCTGTACGACGTTTTTCGGCGCCCCTTTCTCTACGTGAACGATCGAAACGAAGAGATCCTCAAGATCCATTGGTCTCTGGGGTGCAGCTTCACAGCAGGCTGCATAGCCCAGGCGCTGGCCAATCCATTCGACATTGTGAAGGTGCGTATGCAGACAGAGGGCCGTCGCCGACAGCTGGGCTACGAGGCGCGCGTGAGCAACATGGTGCAGTCCTTCGTCGACATCTACAGACACGGCGGTCTGCCCAGCATGTGGAAGGGCGTGGGGCCCAGCTGTATGCGGGCCTGCCTGATGACGACCGGAGACGTGGGAAGCTACGACATCAGCAAACGCACCTTTAAGCGCCTGCTGAACCTTGAAGATGGCCTGGGGCTGCGCTTTCTTTCCTCCATGTGCGCGGGGTTTATGGCTTCCGTTCTCAGCACTCCGGCAGACGTGATCAAGTCGCGGATGATGAATCAGCCAGTGGACGAAAGTGGTAGGAACCTCTATTACAAGAACTCCATGGAGTGCGTCAAAAAGCTGGTTAGTGAAGAGGGCGCCCTGACTTTGTACAAGGGGCTGATGCCGACCTGGTTTCGCCTCGGACCCTTCTCCGTCCTGTTTTGGTTGTCTGTCGAGCAACTGCGCCAGTGGGAAGGTCAAGTTGGATTTTGACCGAAGACTTCTTATGTTGGTGTTGTATTGTATAAGTCTTTGAAAATACAATAAAAGATATAAATGACTGTGAGCGACAGTCCACGTAGTGCCGAAGCGCATCAGGAGAGTGTGCGAAGGCGGCTATTATCACTATGGACGGCAGTCCATGTAGTGACGAAGCGCACCCGGAGAGTGTGCGAAGGCGACTAATATATATAGCGGCGAAATTGAAAATCTGCCGTGATAGTCCGATCGTAATGAGTAATACATGCTAAAACTTAAAGGATTGCATACCAAGGCCTCAATCAAAAAATCAATTGGTTTGGGAGAGAGGGCGGTGAAAGGTTAAAAGCAGAGCATGTAAAAAACAGTTGACTATGTCTAGCTGTCTCAAAATAACTCTCACTTTGGGACCCTTTGAGCAAATCGTCACATACACACAAAAAAAAAACTTGGTAAAATCAACTGTAATAATTGTCAAACAGGCCCCAACCAGCAAAATTGTCAATTCTACTAAGTAAATAGTCATTTCACAACAACAAAATTCACACAATTAGCAGAGACACAAACCCAAAGCAAAAACAAAATACATGTAACTATTTTAATAGTTACGTAACTATCTTTGTTGGTCAATTTTACCAAGCAAATTTTTTTGTGTGTAGAAACTGTTTATTTTGTTTCAAAGGGTTTTCGGCCTTTGCTAAACCAGTAACCGATTTTTATACCCTTGCAGAGGGTATTATGATTTCAGTCAGAAGTTTGCAACGCAGTGAAGGAGACGTTTCCGACCCCATAAAGTATATATATTCTTGATCAGCATCACTAGACGAATCGATCTAGCCATGTCCGTCTGTCCGTCCGTCTGTGCGTCTGTCCGTCTGTCCGTCCGTTTCTACGCAAACTAGTCTCTCAGTTTTGAAGCTATCGTGATGAAACTTTCCCAAAAGTCTTCTTTCTATTGCAGGTAGTATATAAGTCGGAACCAACCGGATCGGATAACTATATCTTATAGCTCCCATAGGAAGGAAACGTTAAAAAAATTCTAGCTTCGGTGTTTTTTGAAATAAAACCTTATACTCTTGGAAATATTATTTTTTAAATATTTCAGAATTTAGAATAAAATATTTTAAAAATCGGACGACTATATCATATAGCTGCCATAGGAACGATCGGAACGATCAGTCGTCAGCTAGCTTTCTTTGCGTTCGGACGTGCTTATAATTCTCGCTATGTTGCTTCACCGCTGTCCCGAGTGCAATACCGATGTTACACCGGCCCAGCTTCGCGCCTCGGATGCTATCCGCTGTTCTTCTTTGTGCCGGCGCGCTTATCATACTGCTTGCGTTGACCTACCGGACGATGTGATAAAAATTCTATTAAATCCAAACATACTGTGGCAATGTGACAGCTGTGTGGTTGCGAATGATTCGCATTCTAAAATTGATGAACTTGATGCTAAATTGCAAGCCCTGGAATGCTTATATCAGGGCCTTAATAAAAATCAAAACATAAATCTTAAGCCTCGTCAACCGAGGCCTGCCAATGTAACTGCAGCTCCCCAGTCATATGCGGCTGCTGCTGCTACGTCTTCCGCGGTCGTTGACCCGTCTAATCATGCTCTGGATATCGGGAGAGGAAATTTCATACAAGTCCGAAATAAGAAGAGAAGGAACAACAACAAGCCCAATAAGCATATTGTTGGAGTGGCCCCTAATGCCGAAGATCTTCACGTATTGCCAAGTAATAAATTCTTGCATGTCGGAAAGTTTGCAACAGCTACCGATCCTGCTGCTGTTTTAAAATATGTGTCCACCAAGCTTAATGTGGACGCTAATTCTTTCACTTGTGTAAAACTTGTAAAAAAAGATGTTGACGTTGCAACTTTAAAGTTTGTAAATTTCAAGCTTGGTATCCCTGATCACCTTTATGATTCAGTCTTCAAGAATGATTTTTGGCCAAACTCAGTTAAGGTCAAAAGATTTATTCATAGAGAACGGGCCGTTATGGACGTGGATAATATCGTATCCAATTTGCCGGAGCCTGCACAAATTTCAACGACAATTCATCCATCAAAAAACCCCTAGTAATCGGCGCCACTGGCGTCGATACTTTTGCGGGACATTTTTTGCAAACATTGGTCACTGCTCTCTCATCATCTTCCGCCTCTCTCCCGTCGCATCGTCAACATCAGCTGGAGCTGTTGCTGTCCGCTTTGTGCGACTTTCGCCATCCGCCAAGCTTTAACATCGGCGCGCTCCTCGGAGTTGCGCTCTCATCATCTTCCGCCTCTCTCCCGTCGCATCGTCAACAACATCAGCCGGAGCTGTTGTTGTCCGCTTTGTGCGACATTCGCCGTCCGCCAAGCTCTAATATCGGCGCGCTCCTTGGAGTTGCGCTCTCATTATATTCCGCCTCTCTCCCGTCGCATCGTCAACAACATCAGCCGGAGCTGTTGTTGTCCGCTTTGTGCGACTTTCGCCATCCGCCAAGCTCTAACATCGGCGCTCTCCTCGGAGTTGCGCTCTCATCATCTTCCGCCTCTCTCCCGTCGCATCGTCAACAACATCAGCCGGAGCTGTTGTTGTCCGCTTTCTGCGACATTCGCCGTCCGCCAAGCTCTAATATCGGCGCGCTCCTTGGAGTTGCGCTCTCATTATATTCCGCCTCTCTCCCGTCGCATCGTCAACAACATCAGCTGGAGCTGTTGTTGTCCGCTTTGTGCGACTTTCGCCATCCGCCAAGCTCTAACATCGGCGCGCTCCTCGGAGTTCCGCTCTCATCATCTTACGCCTCTCTCTCATCATTTTTTTCCGGTGCTCTCTGGAGTTGCTCTCCCCATCAACAACTACAATGGGCTGTGGCAGCTGGTGGGGGCTCTCGCGCACTGTTAACAGGAGCGGATTCACCTGCGTGCAGTCATATTCAGAATGCTAATAATGACCGCCCACGAAATACTTGGAGTGATGATCACCAGCCTATTCGTATCCGCACAACTACTTTACTGAAGGTTCTTATTAATAATTCTAATACTTATGATAAGATCCCAGCAAGGCCTCTTACGGATTCGGGCCATGATGCTGGACCAAGTATTGATAGCATGACCAGGGATGACCGTACATGCACAAATAATATAACTTTCAATATTTATTTTCAAAATGTCGGTGGTATGCGTACAAAAGCTCAATCGCTTTTCTTGGCAACGTCTCAATGTGATCATGACGTCATCATTTTTGTTGAAACCTGGCTCAACATGGATTTCTTTGATAATGAATTCTTCGATACGAATCTTTACCATGTATTCCGTAAGGATCGTGATGCCGTTAAAACAAGATGCTCCAGAGGTGGCGGCGTTTTAATTGCTGTGCGGCGTGGACTTCGATGCACTGCTATTCGTCTCCAGAATGAGGATTCTCTGCTCGATCAAATCTGTGTATCTCTCTCTGGTCCTACAGAAACAATTTTCCTGACAGTCTCATATATACCCCCTAGCAGCAGTTTTGATCTTTATAAAGCGCACGTTGATAACATAGCCCACCTACACCAGGAGCTGGAGGAGGGCCAGTACATATGTGTTTTGGGCGACTTCAACCTATCTTCGCTCGTGTGGGCTCATGATTCAGAGTCCTCAGCAATGGTTCCCAGTAACTTGCATCTTCCCTACGAAATCTTAGTCATTGATGAGCTTCTTAGTATGGCATTAGTCCAGATTAACCATGTATTTAATAATTTAAATAAGCTTCTAGACTTAATTTTTGTACATCCTGATTTAAGCATTAATTTATGTTGCAGCGATAATCCACTTGCCGCGTGTGATGCTCATCACAAGCCTTTGTTAATCTCTATTACTTGTTATATTTTTCGCCCAATTAATTCTCGCTTGCCTTTTACTTATATTAATTCTAGCAGTTTAGATTCTATCCGTAACGATATTTCTAATATTAGATGGGCGGAGGTCCTCTCGCATGCAGATGTGAATACAAGCTATGAAGTTTTTTTATCTTTTCTCTCTACTATTGTGGGCAGATATACTAAAACTAGGGTTCAAAGTTGTTACAGACTGCCATGGTACACCCAAGGACTAAAGAAATATAAAAACCTTAGAAATAAATTCTATAAGCGCTACTTAGAAAGCGGTGATGCTGGTGACTTTGACCGTTACAAACAGCATAAGCGTGAGTTTGAGTTCCCCAATAAATTCTTATACAACCAATATATTGCTGATATAGAGCGTAAATTAACTACCAATCCTAAATCATTCTGGCACTTTATCAATTCTAAACGAACATCTTCTTACTTTCCCTCCCATATGTCATTTGAAGATCATTCAGCCTCCTCGGATATTGGGGTCGCTAATCTATTTGCTAAGTTCTTTGCATCTAACTTTGAGCCGGGCTCGCTGTGGAATGACGATGATTCGCTCAATGCCATTCCTACTATGTTAAATATTGGTTGCTTAGATGTCACCGATTCTGACTGCCATCTGGCGGCTGAATGCTTTAATGAGTCAGCAAAATTAGATTGTGATGGCCTTTCTCCATTTATTTTGAAAAATTGTATAGGTGTTCTTTGTGAGCCCCTTAAAATCATCTTTAATTTATCTCTTTCCACTGGTGTTTTTACGCATAGATGGAAACTGGCCACTGTTACTCCTATATTCAAGTCGGGTGCAAAAAACATTGTTTCAAATTATAGGCCAATTGCAAAGCTCAGCAATGTCTCAAAAATGTTCGAACGAATTGTAGCCAAGCAGCTAACTTTTCTTGTTGGTCGGATCATTAGTCCTAACCAACATGGTTTTATGCCTCGACGGTCTACTACCACAAACTTAGCTACGTTCAATCATTTTTGCACCCACTCGTTTCTCAGTCATCATCAAGTTGATGTGGTCTACACCGATTTCGCTAAAGCATTTGATAAAGTCTCCCATAATGCTTTATTAGCTAAACTGCAGAAAATGGGATTTCACTCACTATTACTTAGCTGGTTCAAATCTTATTTAGATGATCGGGTTTACAGAGTTGAATGCAATGCTGTTTACTCTAACCCATATGTGGCAACTTCTGGCCTTCCTCAGGGAAGTGCTTTGGGTCC